TAAAGAGCAGGTCATATGGGTTTTCGAAAAATATCTCTTTTGCAGTTTGTAAGGTAGCTGTCCTTCAATGGAAACAGTCTGCAAAGTTGTTCATCAAAATAGTGCATGATAAATAAAGATATTGTCTCTCAAAAGAAAGAGTCGACTCAGAATCGCCTTAACGAGTCGTTATATTTTCGAATCTTCTGCCTGTTACCGATCTACGACACTAGGTAACACATTAGCATAATCCCTGCCTGCCCACGAAATACGAACACTCGTGGCCGTTACACCTCGGGTGTGCATTATTTTTCTAATAATTCAACGGCCCTGAGTCAATTATTCCGCTTATACTGTGGTTACCACACCTCAAGACATCGATCAGATGGTTCGTCAGCCAATCAGATTCAAGCATTCAATGGCCCCGTAGTATAAGTAGTTATAGGGTTAATGCAGGGAGTAAAAGACACGGTAGAGAGAGATGAGTTAAGCCTAGTTCACACTCACAATTCTCTTGCATAAGTGTTAAACAAAATGTTTTCATGTCATTATTTTAAGAACTAACTGAAGCACTATATTATTGTTTTATGTAAGGTACATGCTAGGGTTGCCAGGTTGTCACAACAAAACCCGCCCAATTGATACTCAAAACTAGCCCAATCGTGTTTCGAGGGTGGTCCCCCTTTAAAAATCGCGTTCTGGGGTGTAAAATACACGCTTTCAGTCGTGGTTCCCCTGGTAAATTCGCATTCCAGTGCCTAAATATGACATATTGGGGTCGCTACAACCCGGGACATCAAAAACAACCGCGGACTTGGCAACACCGATGGTAGCGCTTGCTAACTTGCTCAAGCGCTCCTCTTTGTGCCAATCACAACAGGCTTGGCCAGCTGACCAATCAGAGCAGAGTAGGCTTATAGATGGGAGGGGTTTACAGACATTTCGCTCAGAACTGAATCGAACGAACCGTTTCGAAATCATGGACAAATGACTCTATGTATTAATGTATATTCTGGGAAAATTACAGTGTTTTCTGACCTTAGATGCATTTAAACCTGTTGTAGGGGACTCCAACACAATATTAGGACACTTTGAAAAAACCATATGACCTGCTCTTTAAAAAAAGTAGATGGTTATTTTAATTTGTAATCACAATATTACTGTTTTTACAGTAATATTGCAGCCTTGGTGAGCGTAAGAGATTCTTTCAAAAACATAAAAAAAAAAAAAACTTAATTATTACAATATTACTGTTTTTACAGTAATATTGCAGCCTTGGTGAGCGTAAGAGATTCTTTCAAAAACATTAAAAAAAAAAACGTAATTATTCCAGACGTTTGACCGGTAGTGTAAGTCTATAAGAAAGTAAAGTCACTAAATTGCTTGGCTATTTTATGATTAATCACATAACTACTTTATGCTTGCAGTCTGATGAGGCTGTAGAAGAGCGTCCAGAATCCCCACTGACGCTAGCTGTGACGATCAAAAATGAATTTGGAAAAGTTGACTTGAAGTCCATCACTACTGGTATGTGAGTGATATGCAAAATTACAAATGAATGAGATGAGTATGATCTATTTAATGATTTATCTAGTGTATAGAATGCATGCTGAATCCATCAGAATTTAACTGAATTAACACAGTGATTGATCAGATATTTATATGGCAAAGTCCCAAAAGAATTGTGCTGTAATAAACAGATATTTATCCAATGACAATTATTTAATTGCTCTCCTGTCAGGTCACTTAAACGCTTCTCCAGAAGACAGAGTAGCATCTGTTTTGCCAGAAGACAGCAGCGAAGATCCTCAAGATTCTGTTACACTCTTTGGAAAGAGATCCTTTATTTGTTCAGAGTGTGGCAAGAGTTTCTCTTCTCAAAGCAACCTCAAATCACATCAGCGTATTCACACTGGAGAAAAGCCTTTCGGCTGTGTTCTTTGCGGCAAGGCTTTCGCCCACAAACAAAGTTTGTCCGACCACCACCGAGTCCACTCAGGAGAAAAGCCATTTGTTTGTAAAGTCTGCGGCAAATGCTTCGGGAAAGCAGCACACCTCAAAACCCACGAAATAATCCACACCGGCGAAAAACCGTTCGGCTGCAACGTTTGCGAAAAAAGATTCAACATTGCTCAAAATCTTGCCAGGCACCAACTTACCCACACGGGCGAAAAGGAGTTCCGATGTTCAATATGTCAGAAAAGTTTCACACGGGCCATAACGCTAAAGACGCATCAACTTATCCACACAGGTCAGAAACCGTACTCCTGCGTGTCTTGCGGGAAGGCGTTTCGGCACGCCGTCAATCTTAAAAACCATGAGCGCATCCACACGGACCAGCGGCCTTTTAGTTGTGACTTATGTGGCAAGACCTTCAGGCAGGCTGTAAATCTGAAAATCCACAAACGGATTCACACGGGTGAAAAACCTTTCAGCTGCAAGGAGTGTGGGAAGAGCTTTAGTCAGCAGAGTAGCCTCATTTCACACGGCCGCACTCACTCTGGAGAAAAACCGTTTGGCTGCAATTACTGCGATAAGTGGTTTAACAATACGAACAGTCTAAAGTTGCACCAGAGGGTCCATACTGGTGAGAGGCCGTACAATTGTGAGTATTGTGGCAAGTGTTTCAGTCAAGGTAGTCACCTGCGTACTCACAAACGCCACGTTCATGGAGGGGGGAAGCAGTACATCTGCGATAAATGCGGAAAGAGGTATGCAGATCCCCGGAATCTGAAATTGCACAAATGCGTTTATGCATAAATGTGGTGTTGTAGATGATCACAAATGAATTTCTCACCCTCAGGCCATCCAAGATGTAGAGGAGTTTGTTTCTTCATCAGAAAAGATTTGGAGAAATTCCATCACTAACTAATGGATCCTCTGCAGTGAATGGGTGCCGTCAGAATCACAACAACCCGCAAGTAATCTACATGACGTCAGTTCATCAATTAACGTTTTGTGAAGAAACAAACTCATCTACGTCTTGGGTGGCGTAGTAAATTTTCATTTTTGGTGAACTGTTCCTTTAATTATTTTGAGTTGTGAAATTTACATATTTATTGGCAATAATGTGGATTGTCAAGTGGCCCCAAAGGATGAATCTCAATTGCTGTGACAGTTGTATTTTACTTCACAAAATATCATAGTTTAGATCATGGGTTATATCATAGAACCTTTTTGAATTAGATTTTAGGACTGTTCTGTTTTGTAAAAGTTACTCGTAATCACAGATAGCGATTTATTTTGAATGATGGTATTATATTTTGTACATTTCTTCATTAGCGTGGATCCTAATTGAAAAAGATAATTGTACGCCTTCATATTTATGTTTGAGACATTTAATATAACACAAGATAGTTGAAAAATAAGAAACTAAATCTTAGCAGAGAGAGTTGGTTTGATATCTAAAATTCTGATTGTCTTTGAGACCGATATTGAAGACGGTAATGTCAAAATATCCTAATGTTAATAATATTTATTTTATAAATTATAATATTATTTACAGCCCCAGAGAAGCAAGATGTATAAACTTGAATATTAAAGAATAGATGGCATTGCTATGGTCAAATATTTAATTTTTCGTGCCCTGTTTTCTGTCAAAACATTTATATTTGATTCATGAAAATGTTGCCAAGTACAGTTTTCAATAAAGCATTGTTCATCTTGTGTGAGTATCTTCATTTGCATTTAATTATAAATTATAATACATTGTTAAGTGAAGACTGCAGAAACAAGATATGTTCGAAATGTGTGTATTGCCACTATTACTGTGCATAGTCTGCAAGTTTTTTGGTATGCACTGAATACATACGTGTTCTAGTACATTTGCACACATTTTGATGTTGGACTTATTTGGCGTCATTAAGGAAATAAAAATTTTTAGAAATATTTTAGATTACAGAAATATCATATTTGTTTTTTTAGGTTGTTCAAAATGAGGTGTTCTTTCCCTCCACGATCCTTTCCTGGGAAAATAACGTTTTCAAAGATTACAACTCATATGTTAAGAAATTCCCTTTAAGGACATTGTTTTGCTATGAAGACACAATATTGCTATCATCCATCAATTTTTAAATGTCTTTTTTTCTTCAACTTTATGTTGGTGTATAAGGGAAAATTTTCTTTTGTTTCTCAGCATTTTAATCACCCTTTTGCCTTCAGTTCATTTTAAATGCTCCTGCAGTGTGACAAATGACTGTTTGAAATACAAATATTCCATGTAGTCTCAGTTTATTTGATCATAAAGTGCAATCAACCAGCAGTATTGGGTATAATTCCTTACTAAGTGCACCAAGAGCTTGTAACACTCCAAAGAGAAAGGAAAAATTGAAAACGCATCATATGACCCCTTTAAATGAGTAGTTTCATGTCTATCCTTGTTTTGTTCAACTGAGGCTGATGTGGGATTTAGAAAGTAACTGAACTAGAACAGTAATCTAATTAAACTGTTGAAGATGTAATTACTAGCTTGTAATTAATTACTTCTTTATTTTTGGAGTAACTTACCCAACACTGCCAAACTGTAGGTAGCTGAAGCTCATGCATAATAATTTTAACGTAAGTGTATATGTATATTTTTTTTTCAACAGAGCTACACAGTCATTATATATTCAATATATAAACAGTCATGCTTTGCTTTTTTTTTTTAAATACAAAAAAAAAAACGGGATTGGACCTTTTAAATTAACGTAATAATTACCAATTGGCTTATTCATTAATTTATTTGTCAGAGAAGTGTGTGTGTGTGTGTGTGTGTGTGTGTGTTTGTGTGAGAAAGAAGGCGACAGACATGCGCGCTACATTTACACTTCCGGGTTTGTCTTTAAGTGAAATGTAACATTTCGCTTGTGATGCGTCTATGAAACTTGTTGGCCGAGCAGTGAATAAAAGGTGCTTACCTATAATTAAAGCGGCACGTCGTTTAAAGACAAAAGAAACAGTGGCGGTGAATACTGTCATGCTCGGTGAATGAGACTCGCTGGACTCGCTCTGATGGCCTGATGTTGCACCAATGTTGTGCCTCATGACCGGACGGACTAACAGCAGCATGACGCGCCTGATGTTTCTAGCAGCCGCGGTGTTTCTCTTGTCCGCTCCTGCGAGCGCCTCTCAGGGGGACAAAGAGCCCGTCTATCGCGACTGCGTCAAACAATGCGTCCGGACCAACTGCACGGGGGCCCGACTGCGCGGATTCCAGTCCTCTCAACCTCCATACATGGCACTCACAGGTACCGTTCTAACCTATTTGTGTCAGTAACCTAGTAGAGTATTATGCAAACTGAATTTATTTCACAGCTGACTAGAGAAAATATGTCATAATATTCTTTTAAATTAAATTATTAGCAATACTGAATTATTTAATGACAGATTTAAATGAACAGGAGTTGATGGACATTTTAAAATGAGTATTTATTAAAATGTGCAAATCACGACAAAAGCTTGAACAGACGTGTATACGAACATTTTTATTTATAGATTGACACACATTCTAAAATTAAAAAAAAAGTGAAGAAAATAAATGATGTCATGGGCCTATATCAATTGCCATTATAACAGTATTGTTTCTTCTTAGCAGGACAATGTTCTTAAAGTTCTTATTCTTTAACTTCTATCAATATCTTGGTATTGCCACAACTTTTTACTTTTTACTATGTACCATAGTAATGCATTCCATGGTTTTGTTCAAAGCAGGCTGGAGTACAATGTTATATGAATACAGCAGTCGCTTGATATGTCAGGGTATATATCATTTTATTCCATCACTGTACCATGGTACCACAGCAGTACTTTTTGTAAAATAATTAAAACAACACAAATCAAAAACCCAAGCCCAATTGAAAAAAAGTTATGAAACAAAACAAACAAAAAGGGGTCTTATCTGGCTTGGCTTGTCTGGTTGGAGGGGTTTTGGGCACTTTTCAGACTTTGAGAAAAGCTGGCCAACAAGCTAAACCAGCTAAACACCAGGGACAGGCTAAACTAGCTAGGGCCAGCCAACCACCATAGGCTGGAGCTGTTTTCCCCCTCAGGAGAGCACCGAATAAGCAGCCTATGGCTGGTTACCTGCTTGAGAGGAAACATTATGTATCATACAGTATTTATACAACACTAGTCAACATTTGGAGACACCTACTCTATCTCTATAGTAGTAATATTTACAGACATTTTAGAATAACAACTATTAAAACTATGAAAAGAAACAAATTATAAATCAAATAGTTCTGTCCCTTCTGAAAATGTTGTGTCCAGGACAGGTAAATCCCATGATTTTGTAACCGTTCCAATCACCTGTACACCGAGTCACTGCACAACTCCAATAGCGGATGGTGTTTTACGTTGCATAGCACCGTTCTCTTATGTCAGAGACTATAACATTTAATGTAGCTATTTTAGACCAAGAACCCATTGCTGGATAGGGTATTAAAATTGGGTTGCTTTTAAAGCCTGGCCATGTGCAGATGCACCTGTACACCGAGTCACTGCACAACTCCAATAGCGGATGGTGTTTTACGTTGCATAGCACCGTTCTCTTATGTCAGAGACTACAACATTTAATGTAGCTATTTTAGACCAAGAACCCATTGCTGGATAGGGTATTAAAATTGGGTTGCTTTTAAAGCCTGGTCATGTGCAGATGTACATACTTTGTTATAATGATTGTGTTGCAAAACCATAAAATAGTCATTTGTACACTTTACTTAGTAAAGTAAAAAGTAATTTTACTTTTCGGCAGTGAAACGTTTAGCTGAACACTGTTAGCTTGTTAGCTTTGGATGAAGTTTACTAAATATTGTATTTATGTAATTTTTTTACTTAATATTGTGTATTTTCATGTTTTGTCTCATGTCTCAATCATTGTTCTAGTGGAAGGATGCCACATAATGAATAGGGTTAAAATGTAATAATATAATATTTAAACTTTTCAAAAATCCCTGGAATATTCCAAACAGATCCTGGAAAGTTTCCAAAATTTCTGGAATGTTTCCGAAATTTACTGGAAATTTTCCACCTTTTTGCAACCCTATAGCTTCAATACAAGTTAAACTACATTGACAGCATTTGTGGCAAAACGTTGATTACGACAAAAATTCATTTTGATTCGCACCTCGTTTTTGAACATGTAGGTAAAAATGAGACATTTTCACTGGAGATTCTCTAAAACCAACTTTAAAAGGTGCATCCTGGGAAGCTTTTTAAACAGTATTCAAGGTTGTATGCTGGACTCTTGTTGGCTGCTTTTCCTTCACTATCCTATCTTACAAGAAATAATGACATTTGTAAAGAAATGAATATGTAGACACAACTATTTATGCATAAACCTTTAGATCAAAAGATTTTATAAGAGCACAAATTGCATAAATTCAGTCAATTATGTTCTGACTAATTCTGTGTGAGATTTGGTTAGTGTTGTAGATCTACGAAATGCCAAATTTACTTTATCAATGTCAATTAATTTTGTCCTGCAGCCTTTCCTGTGCAATCGCTCATTTGAAGTCTGTGATCTTTCAGGCTGGACATGTCGTGATGACTGCAGGTATCAGTGCATGTGGACCACCGTGGGTCTGTACCAGGCAGAGGGCTACAGCGTACCACAGTTTCACGGGAAGGTTAGTGTCAGAATTGTCAACCAGTGTGAAAGGGGACAAATCTTAATGGTCATCACTACGGAAATTGATGTTTTCAACTCTGATTCTACATCTTTTTTTTTTCATATTTCTAACTTTGTCTAGTGGCCTTTTGCTCGTTTCCTGTGTTTTGAGGAGCCTGCATCTGCGCTGGCATCTCTGCTCAATGGTCTGGCATGTCTGCTGATGCTGTTGAGATACCGCAGCGCCGTCCCTCGACAAAGCCCCATGTACCACACCATCACCGCCTTCTCACTGGTGAGACAGTGTCTGTCTGCTCATATTAATTCCAATAATTCCAAATTAAAAAAAAAAAAAAAACACACAATAAATGTAGTTTAATTTATTGTAGTTTGTGATGTAGTTTAAAAGTTGCATAAGTGCAGTTATTCAGCAACCACAATTGCAAACAATATAGTTAAGATCCCTATTTAGATTTATAACAGTTCGTCACTGAGAAGGTTTGCTTGGCCTCATGTAAGAATATTAACTGGCCGTATTACATTTAACATGAACAGAATAGCGCATTAAGATCGCTAAACTCCACATTTTTTCAGTGTTTTGAGGTCATCAGCACTTTTTTTTGCAGTGCAGAGGGAGCATGTGTGCATGGTTGCCAGGTTTGGGATTGATTAAGAGAAAATCTCTGACCCGGGGCATTTAAACTCTTGACATCTGGCAACCCCAAGCATGAAAGCTCATGGAGGCTTTTTACCAATGCAAGATAACAACAATGTCAAATGAAAAAAAAACAAAAAAACAGCAGGTCAGAGAGGCATAACTCATGTTTGATGTTAGGTATGATTAAAAATCAAAATCAAATCAAATTTTAAACACTCATTTTATTGCATTACTTTAATTTTCAATAAGTAAGTAAAGATTATTAGGAATTTTCACTATTTCTAGGTCACCAATCAAATTATTGACACTGATCATGTTGTTTAGATGGTCACATACTCTTTGGAACATTCTGAAATCATGCTGGATCACATGATCATCAGTTTTGTTCATGGCATCTCCAGTGCTGTTGTCATTAAAGCAAAAGTGTACAAACCAAATACTGAGACATTCAATTCATGATACTTATTTTACAGTTAATTTCATTATTTACAAAAATCATACCAACATTTTTTAAGTGGAATTGGACCACACTGTAAACGTAGGTTGTGCTCAACCATGTTTGCGTCTCTCTGCAGGTTTCCCTGAATGCATGGTTCTGGTCTACAGTGTTCCACACGAGAGACACCTATCTAACAGAGGTAACCCTTCAAGAGATGATTCAAAGACAAATTCTAAACATTTTCTTATGTTCCTGGATTAAGAGTAATGCCTGTCATGGCAAAAATAGTGTTGGTAGAGATTTTCTGTCTTTGTTTTATAGAAGATGGACTACTTCTGTGCATCAGCTGTCATTCTTTACTCTATCTACTTGTGCTGTGTAAGGTGAGTGAACAGGAAATAAATGGCTGATTAACAATATACAGTGCTTGCTAGTCTTTTTTTATAAAACGGATAGTTCCGGTCCTTGATTCTGATTGGTTGAGCCGCGTTGGAAGCTGTTGTAAATTACACTACAAACATACACTGGCAACCACTTTGTTGGAACCACAACTGTTTATGAGGAACTACATTGTTTGGTGGAAGAATACGGTTTTTATTTATATCATTACACTTTATTTGCTCTGTTTTATTCTGTGAAACCTTACTACGTATATGGAATAACCGTTTTATAAAAGCAATAAGCCCCGT